AGCCATTAATGTTAGTCTTGGTAGAAACTGGCTTGATAATGGTCTGGATGCTCAAGGGTCTGACCCTGATTTTATTCCCAAATCCTTTATAGTCTTAGCTAATGGTGCGGGTTAAAAGAAGTATCAAGGATGGACTATGAAGAATTCCCTAACATACTTGGATCACAGATTAGCTGATTAATAAATTCATTCAACAGGTATCTACTGCACCTTACTGCCTGCAATATGCAGGAAGCATTATCAAGGGATGCTATGGACCAGTAGCTAAGAGCATATACTCCGAAGTCAAGCTACATGACTATGAATCCAGGCTCCATTATTTAGTGGCTATGTGACTGTCTACTAGACATTAATCTTTTTGATCTTGAGGTTTCTCATTTGTAAAATGGAGGTAGAAACACTTCACGGGAAGCATTTGAGAGGTTTAAACAGGATTGTCCATGTAAAGGACTTGGCACATAAGTGACTGCTCAATCCATGGTGGCAGTTACCTTACTACAGGACAAATAAAGTAACATAAGAAAGGATCTGGATCCCAGGAAACACATATGCCAGGAAGGGAGGTAATATGTGGGTATAAATAATTACAATACAAATTTAGAAGACAATGGATGATATGGAAAATTTTTTACCTCCATATCATCCATTGTCTGCTAAATTTGTGTTATAGTTCAAATACAAATTGTATTTGTTCTGTAGTTGTTCAGAGGAAAAAATGATTATTTCTAGGTAAGGAAATCAGAGGAGGCTTCTTCTATAACATTCAAGCTGGTAGATGATGTTCACACTATTCAATATTAAACCTGTGAGTCAGGCAACCCTTTTGTAAACCAGTAAGCTCTAACTGCATTTTAAAATGATGCCAAATAACAGACTTCTGGTACAGAGTCCTGCATATTGTTTTCCTAGCACCATTTATTGAAGAGGGTATCCCTTCCCCACTGTATGTTCTTAGCACTTTTGTCAAAGATAAGTTCACTATAGCTGTGTGGATTTATTTCCAGGTTCTCTATCATGTTCCATTGGTCTATGTGTCTGTTCTTATACTAGTACCATGCTGTTTTGGTTACTGCACCTCTGCAGTATAATTTGACATCAGGTAACCTGATACCCCCAGTTTTGTTCTTTTGCTCAGGATGACTTTGGCTATCCTGGC